ACAGCCCACTTGTCTCCTGCCTCTTCTCCCTCATCTGCAAGTCAGCTGTTGTCACTAACCGCGCTCCCTCGGGTATCTTCCTGGAGGTTCGGCACCAGCGGCAGGAAGCAGGACCCCTTGTCGACCTTGTGCCGTGTGGCCCACAAGTGACCCCCATCCTCTGGAGACCAAGGGCCGGTTCGTGAAAACCAGCAGGAAGCTAAGATTGTTCCTGGGATGTTTCCCCCTAAGCTGTAGAAAACCCAGACGCGGTCCGGCTATTCCAGGTGCCTGTGTCCTCACCTGTCTCTGGCTGCCGTTTGGGCTCTGTCCATGTGCACCCACAGTGTGGAAAAGCTCTGGAGACTTTTGTCTTACAACACACAAAGACAGAGGCAAGGAGAGAATAACAGTCTCCATAGGAATGCAGAGGAATTGGAAATGTCTGGGGAGAAACCGGGCGCGGTTGCTAGGGACCGGCTGGTGTCTTCAGTTGAAGCCGTGAGTCACCGCCACTGACGAACACACTCACACTAGCATGCGGAGCTCGGGAGAGCATCTCACTGTACCTTCCTGAATGGGCAGATGGCATCTGTCTGTGAAAACGAGAACAGCTCTAGTCACAAAAGAAAGGACTTCGGAAGGATTTTACTTCTTCCCCCATTCTCTCTGACCCCCTTCTCTGCCACCCCACTGACAGACAGCATCCCAGGAGGAACATTCCCCGCTTTGGATACAGCCAGCCATGGGGGGAAAGGGGCTTCTCTGGAGTACATGGGTTTCCTAACACTGTAAAAGGTTTCAGATCAATAGGTTTAACCTTTGCACTCATAGATGGGCTCAGGGAGATGTGTGGACTCATGAAATTGATGGCAACAATTTTGTATTGTTTTTTTTCCTGCATATTTTCCTGTTATACAGAAATTTCACAGAATTCCATAAGAAACATCTGACTATATACCAGAAAGCTTCAAAAGTAAAATGTTGCAAGTATAGCAGTATAGAAGTTACTACCACATACCTGCCTGGTTGTGTTCTCTATACACCTGACTGCAGGAAACTGTTCTCTTGAATTTGGTGTTCATTTCCATTCAAAGAGCATATTTTGATAGCATGCATATTTATTCCAAAGCTATTATGGTATTTTAATGCTTTATTTTGCAATAATCTTAGACTTGCTAAAATGTTGCAAAAATAGTACACAGTTCTCATATATTCTTTGCCCAGTTTACTGTAATATTAACAATGCACATAACCATGATTTAACAATCAAAATCTGGAAATTAATGTCAGTACAATCATATTGTATAGACATCATTCAAATTTTGTCAGTCTGCTGTATCTTATAGATCATTCTATATTAACACACATAGGTCTACCAAATCTTTAGTGGACATATATGAATTTTATTAGTAGAATATTTTCTGAGAATTGGAAATTCTGGGTCAAAGAGTATATGCATATTAAATATGATAGAAACTACAAAAATGCCTCTGAAAGAGGTTGCACAATTTGCACAACCAACCACCTTCGGCATACAGAGTACCTAGTCACCTACACCCTCATCAGCACAACCATTAGATTCACAGCAGCCTGACATGGCAACACCAGTTTGGGCAAATGAGCCAAAGAAGGGGATTTCTAATTTTGATTTTGAACTTGAACAGTCCTGATGTCACCTCTCAGCTGGGAAGGGGCAGAACAGATCCAAAGAAGCATAACAAAAGCTTTGAGAATGGTACTGAGATTAGAAACTCTGCCTACAATAGAACAAGTCAAAATTTGTGGTCAGAATCTAATGGGGTTGGTTGGCTGCTAAAACAAAAGCATCAGTATTCTTCAGAGGATTATATTAGGACTCAGAGTCAATATAATACAACATTCACACATCTATGATACAATCCAGAATTATATACAAAGAATCAGAAAAATGTGACTGATCTTTAAGTGAAAACATGACAAACGCATACGGCAACCCCAAGATATACAGGAGTTGGCATTATCAGACTGGCACCGTAAAGCAGCTATTATTACTGTGCTCCATGAAGTAACAGCAAATACACTTGAGATAAACAAAATGATAGATGTTTACTGCAGAGAAATAGTATTGAAAAGAACTAAAAGAAAAATTTATATATGAAAAATAAATGGACTGGAGTTAAAAATTCACTGGATGTGTTCAGTAGCAGAATGAAGAGGACAAAATAAAGTGTCAGGGAACCTAAAGATAGATCAATAAGAACAATTCAATCTGAAGAATAGAGAGAAAGATTGGGGTAAAAATGACAGAACTCAGGAAACTGTGGTGAAACATCAAAAGGCCTAAAATTTAACCTTGACTTGAACATTACAAAAATGATCCATGTAACCCAAAACGTTTATAACCCCATAACACTTTGAAATAATAATAAAAAAAAACCTTCTCAGATTAGATGATGGAAAAAAAAACGTCTAAAATACGTGTCACTGAAGTTTCAGAGGATCACAAAAAGAGATTGGTGCAGAAAAAAATTTGAAAAACTAATGGCTGAAAACTCCCCAAATTTGGTGAAAGATAGACACAGGAAAACTATGCCTAGACAATCCTAATCAAATTATTGAAACCCAATGACAAAGAAAACTTTTATAAAATAGCTAGGGAAAATGTAACATCCCTGGGAAACAATAATTTGAATTATCAGAGATATAACATTAGAAACCATGAAGACTAGAAGATAGTAGAACAGCATATTTAAAATGCTGAAAGGAACTGTCAATCCAGAATTCTATATTGAGCAAAAGTATCCTTCAGGAGTGGAGGCAAAAATCAAGATATTCTCAGATGAAAGAAAACTTCTAAGAAAACATCATCAGCAGAACTGCTCTATAAGAAAAATGATATCAAGTTCTCTATGCTAAAGGAAAACAATATTTGAGGGAAACTCGGATTTTCACTAATAAAGGAAAAAACAATGGTAAATAGCTTGGATCATAAAAAAGCCTATTTTTTTCCCCTTGAAGTTCTTTCAAATACTTATGACTATTGAAAGCAAAAGTTATAGTATTGCCTGGTAGGGTTTTCGGTGCATATAAACATAATATTATGACGACTACAACATATAGGTCAGTGGGAATGGTAGTGGTACAGGGTCTAATATATCGGCAAGTTTTCTATGTATTCCTTCAAGTGAGACAAGTCTACTCTAAGTCAAATGTCAAAAATTAGGTCTGCATATTTTAATTCATAGAGCAAACACTAAAACACACAAAGAGATAAAGCTTAAAAGCCCATAGATAGGCCAGGTGTAGTGGCTCATGCCTGTAATCCTAGTACTCTGGGAGGCCGAGGCATAAGGATTGCTCAAGGTCAGAAGTTCAAAACCAGCCTGAGCAAGAGTGAGACTCTGTCTCTACTAAAAACAGAAAGAAATTAATTGGCCAACTAAAAATATATAGAAAAAATTATCTGGGCATGGTGGCGCATGCCTGTAGTCCCAGCTACTCGGGAGGCTGAGGCAGAAGGATTGCTTGAGCCCAGGAGTTTGAGGTTGCTGTGAGCTAGGCTGACATCATGGCACTCTAGCTGGGGCAACGAGTGAGTCTCTGTCTCAGTAAAAAACAAAAAAATAATAAAAAAAGCCCATAGATAAATTAAAATGGAATACTAAGAGAATTAAATTATTCAAAAGAAGGGAGGAAAGGGGAATCAGAGGAACAAAAACAGAGGGAAAAAAACCAGAAAAATAAGTAATACAATGAAAGACCTAAACCCAACCATACTCATGCTTACATTAAATGTTAATGGTCTAAACACTTCAATGCAAAGCCAGAGATTGTCAGAATGGATAAAAACACGAGACCATACTATATGCTGGCTACAAGAGACACAATTTAAATATAAAGATGAGGTTAGGCTGAGGGAAATGGACCAGAAAGGACATACCATGTGCAAACAGCATACGAAGGCTGCATGGCCACTGCAACATCAAAGCAGTACTAGAGACTTTCATTATCACAATCATGAAGTGACGATTCATCACGAGAACTTAGTGATTAAATATGTGTCTGTGGTTAATAACAGAGCTTTAGATACGAAGAGCAGAAATGGACATAACTGGGAAACAACTTCACAACTATAGCTAAGAGTTTTTAATGTATCTCTTTCTGCAATTGATAGATCCAATTGACAAAAAAAGATCAGTAAGGACATGGATGATCTGAACAACACTATCAACCACTTTCATCTAATTAATATTCATGGACCACTGCATCCAACAACTACAGAATACACATTCTTTTCCAGTGCGCATAAAATGCTTGGATAGACAGGCAAGATACTGTACATAAAACAAGTCTCATTAGAAGTATTGAAATCTTTCAAAATATATATGTTATCCGAATGCAATGGAATTTACTTAGAAATTAACAACAATAAGATATCTAGGAAAAACCCCCAAATATCTGGCAATTAGGCAACACATTTCTAAATAGTTCATGGGCCAAAACCGAAATCCAGGGGACATTAGTAAATATTTTGATCTCCGTGACAACAAAAGCACAGTATTAAAATTTGTAGCACGCAGCTGGAGCAGTGGAGAGGATCTTGTAGCTTTGAGGGCTCTGTGAGGAGTGGGAGCTTGGGCGCTGAGCGATGGCCTCAGTGGTGGTTAGCACCCGGGTGTAACGGATCACCACGAACTTGGCAGTGAGAAAAGCAGAAGCCAGACATGGACCTTAGGGAGACAGCAACTCTAAGGACAGTGTGCAGTGTGCAGGGCACAGACAGAGAGTAAGTATGGGAGAAGCAGGTGAGTGAGTAGGTCCCGTGAGCCGCCGACTCCATCCCTCCAGCGTAGGGCAAACAGGTGTGTGCGTTCTCCTCTCCCTGACAAACAGGTGGAAACAGCCACCTGCAGGCTTTGGGCTGCAATAGTCAAAAAAGGCCACACGATGGCGGAACAGCATCGTGAAAGCTGCTAAGACCCGAGCCTTTTTAATTTCACTGTGTTAGCAAACCCTCTTCCGTGTGTGGCCACAGATACACCCTTTTACCAAACCGCTTACTGGTCCAGCCCACGCCACTGAGCTCTTGCTGCGTGCCAGGCACTGCACCACCGCTGTGAACAAGGTAGTTTCCTTTGCAAAGGTGGGGTTGGGCTGCAGAAAAAAGACCCAGGTAAGTAAAAAGGGATAATTTCAGAATACGGCAAAGGGCTCCAGAACAACAGAACCAGGCATTCTAGAATGTACGCTGCATCGGCGGAGAAGCAGAGGCCTGGACCGAGACCGGGCACGACCCTGCGGCTGGAACGAGGAATGATGCCAGGTGCACATCACTCGCACCTGCTGCAGGACCGGCTCCAGGCACAGGTGGAGCGCCTGGGTCCTGGAGACGCATGAGCCCTGTTTCTCGTCAGCTCTCTGTGCTGAAGTAGACAGGCCCTCGCTCCGCGCCTGACTGTGACTTTGACTGTCTTTCTCGTGTATGAACCCAGGTTGTCTCTCTGTCCTCCCGTTCATCTGTCCACCCCTCGGCCATCTGTTTTCCACCAGGAAGAGTACTGCTTTTCCTCATGAGCTCCCGGGGCCCCATTCCGGCCTGGACCCCACCCGCCTGCACCTTCTCTGGAGCCGGAGAGGCGAGCGCCGGCTCCGCTCGGTGCAGATGCCGCCAGGCAGCCAAGTTCAGAGTTCTCGGATGGGGAAGTCGGGATGGGTGTGGCAACGGGGAGGGGAGACCAAGAAACTCCACTTTATGAGTTTCAGCTGGAGGAACTCCGGGCTGTTATCTGCAGAGAGGGAACCTCCGGGTTGTGGGGGAAGAACAGGGAGAGGAGAGAGCCTTTGGGACCGGGGGTGGCTGTGCATGCTGGAAGACCTGCTCTGTGTGGCCTCAAGGGGCAGAGCTGAAGAAGGCTGTAGGGGCCGGTGTGGACGCAGCGGGCAGGAGATGGTTCTGCACGGGCAGCTGGGGAGCGGTGGGGCAGGCGGAGCCCGGCTGCTGCAGCTGCAAGGGCCAGAGGGGCATTGGAGGGGAGGCTGGCCGGTGCACACTGGGGTCAAACAGTGGACAGTGGTTGAACCAGGTAACTTTTGAGATCCCTTATCCTACTGAAATTCTCTGATTCTTGGAAGAAATTGAGCAGGTCTGGAGAGAGTAGGGGGAGACATCAAGAAGAGAAACCAGATGAATTGGTAAGTTGGAAAAGAGCAAGGAAGTGCAGGGTGGGGCCGGGAAGCCAGGGGAGCAGCTGGGGGGCTGCTCAGAGCCCCCGAGAGCCGTCAAGGTTGGGGAAGCAGAAGACAGAGCAAGGCGCCAGCCGTAGCAAGGGTCGGGGTTAGGGACCTCCAGGTTTCCGCACAGCGGGAGGAGTCCGGCCAGACTGCAAGGGGCGGAGAGAGGGTTTGGTGCAGGGGACAGACGGAGGAGGCCTGCTCGGTAAACGTGTGCATGACTCGAAGGAGCGAGACCCAGAGTGAAGGGAGGGGGTGGGGGGAAGGAGAAAAGGGGTTTTTATTTGTTTGTTTGTTTAAGTATTTTGCAAGCAGAGGGAACTTACCTAGCAGAGTAGATGGCCAGGGAAGCACTGCAGATATAAGTAGTGTGGAGTATTCTATATCAAGGAAGAGACCCATGGGTATTAAGGGGCTTCCTGTCAGTGTCCTATCTTGGCACAGCAAAGGCGTTGCCTGGGACGTTACCATAGCAAGACAGAGGGAGAAGGCAGCTGAGAGGCGGTGAGGAAGGGACTTGGAATTTCAAACACAGCCAAGCCTGGACGTGAGCCCTGGCTCCACGTCTTCTAATTGCAGGATCTTGTGCAAGGCATGTAACTAGAGGAACCTCCAGTTTCTTATCTGTCGAATACTAATCAGATGATTGCTACCATTTACTGAGGTTACTAAGTGCCACCCCCAGTGAAGTAAGTGCTTTCTAGGCGTCAGCTCATGAATTCTTATAAAGCTATTGTGCTGGTAAAGTGGTTTACCAAGTTCACGGGACTGAAGTCGCACCCGTCCCTTTAACCGCTGGGACTCAGCACCTCTCTATCTCTGTCATTTGCCTCTCACAGTTGTTTTAAGGATGAAAAAGAAAACATCTTCAAACAGGTTGCGATTATTCTAGTGGGCTTCTGGCCCACTGTGGTCTGATACATGCGCCTCTATTAATATAGCCCAGTATTCCTCGTGACTATGCGTCCTAGTAAACATATGATTAATTGAACTTCAAAGGCATTTGGCTGATTTAAAAAAAATCTGTGCAAAAGTTTATTGTCAATCACTTAGAAAAGAAATAAAACGGGAATTCATGGTTTGTAATGTGTGCGATGCCCTCTCACACTTTAAGCAGACTCTGGGTAAATCGCCCTTCTCGGAAGAGAGAATTTTACTACTGCACATGGGGCTCCTCACCTCACCCTCCCCGCTTATTTTTCAGTTTGTTTTGTTTTCTTTCGGTCTTCTGGCAACGCAGTCTCCTTCCTCCTCAGGTGACTTCCCAAACCTGCACGTCTGCGTGTGAGAACGGACGGGACTTAAACTCTGCCCGTGTTCTCTCCCCCGTGGGGCTCGAGGCTGAGAGAAACATCTCTCTTTCTTTTTCTCTGACTTTTGCTTTCAGAAGCCCCGTGACTCTGGCCGTGCACGCAGCAGCTCAGACCCGGAAGACCTGAAGCTGGACCATGTCTGGGTTTCCACCTCCCTTTTGCAGATGTGCCTTGGTAGCTTTCCGAATGACCTTGAGCACAGTCCGTGGCTGGTCAATGGTTTACCGATTGGAACCACACTGGTGTGTTAGGTCACGCCGGCCATGTCCCTCGGGGAAAACAGGGTTTCAAGTTTCTGAACAGAGGCACTTAGGTGTTTTGCCTTTTCTCACGATGAAACCTCCCTGCGCGGGCTCTGGTGTTTCCTCCAGTGACTATAGTACCTTAGGGGAGGGAAGGAAACTCTACAGCTGCCAAAACAGATGAATACATAAAACTGTGAGGTGTTCATTGTTCCAAAATAAAATATGCAACCAAAGCAAAATGTGTAAGAGGAAATTTTAAGATGGATAGGTAATTTGTGTTTCCTCAACCTGAGTGTTATGATTGTAAGAAGTCATGCTTTTATGCAGGTGCTCACACGTTTTGGGGGCCTCTCATACATGTCCATCGACCTGCCAGATGATAAGAGCAACACGATAAGCAAAAATTCAATACGGGTGAAAAATAGCACGATGCGTGTCTTCATGAAGCTCACAGTCTGATGGAGAAGAAAGCCAGCATTTGCCAAAGAATCTCGCAGGGAAACGCCACCTTCTAACTGTGACGAGCAGCGCGGAGCAGAGCGCCAGGCCGGTGATGGTCTGTTGGAGGGGGTCGGCCTCACCCGAGACGGGGCGCTCGAGGAAGTGACGGACGGACTAAAACCCGATGGCCGAGCTCGGCTGGTTGTGGCTTCCCTGGGGTCCAGCATCTCCGGACTCTTCCGGACTTCGGATTCAGCTAATAGCTGCCGTTACATCATCCTCCACTGAGTCTATTAGAACCCTGGGGCCTCACTTTGGGGCTCAATTTTCCCAGTTTCTCCCCCACCCCTCCCCACGGGCCTCTTCAGCAGATCACTCTTGGCAGCCTCGAAGAAAGAGAAATAAAAACCAGAACCCACCTAGTTCCCCGAATTCCCCTAAAACTACGACGAACCATTCCTATAGATCTTTGCAACAGATCTTTCCCCTCCGACTGCATGCGCGCTTAGTGCTTTGTAAAAATGGTACTCAGTCTTTTTCATTCAAAGGAACGCAGACAACCTTATTTCCGATTACACAGATAATGCATGTCTATGCAGAATGTCCAAGCCAAACAGAGAGTCAAAAAGGGGAAATTAAAATCACTTAAAAACTTGCAATGCACTGTTAGCATTCTTGTGGACTTGCTTTCCCCAGTCCCTCTGTGCACAGGGACAGACACACTGCTGTCAATCGTGCCCTCTCGGGCAGCTTTCTTCAGGAAGCCAGGAAGTCCTTGCCTCGCCCGCGCCCTGGGTGAGCCCCCTCCGGCCCGGGACTGTGCCACGTTTCGCTGCAGGGACATGTTCCACGGGTGGATGGTCCGTCCCATGCTGAGGGACGTGAACTCATTTCCAATTTCCCACTATTTTACATGATGCTGAGATTAAAATCTTTGCACGTACATCTTTGTCCTCCTGTTTGGTTATCTCTTTTAGGTAAATCACTGCATTCTTTACTCTTAATAATCAAACCCATGAAAAGGAGGCGATGGGTCAACCTCACTTCGATGAAGCTCAGTGAGAAATTTCTGCCGCCGCTGCCTCCCCTCTGCCGCCTGTGGCCGGGCAGCGCTTCCCACGCCGAGCCGCGCGTGAGGCAAGCGGCACAGGGACAGGCTCGTCCCTCGAGATTAAAAATCCGGGGGCCCCCGAGGCCTTTTTCTTAGCTGGTCACTAATTTTTCTCGCTCTTGTTCTCTTTCTCTGTTGTGGCAGATAAGGAATTTCGTTTAGAGAACTGTTAGGGGGTTCCACCAGGAGGGTCAGGGTGGGGACACCTAGACATTCCAACAGGACGAGGACACTGCTGGCCCCCGGAATTCTGCAGGCTCCCGGGTCCAGGGCGCCCACGCAGGGGTGTGTCCGAGCGGCTTCCTGCTGGGAGCCGTGGAGATTGTTGGCCAGCCTTTCCGACCGCTGGACCGTGGAAAAAAGTAGCCGTGCTCTCTGTCAGGGGTCAGTTGGTGAGAAACGTCACGGTCACTTACCTCATGCCGCCGTTGGTCCTACGGCGCTCCTGTCCACGGCGCCGTGGGTGGCTTCTCTCTGGCATCTAAGGCGGTTCCCGCCTGTCCCCGTTGCCTGGAGACAGCGTAGCTCGGGGCTCAGGGCGGCTCGGGGCGGACGCTCGCACTAAGCGCCAGAGCCAGCCGGGCTCACCCCACACGCCCGCTCCCTCTGGGAACAGCTCCTACAACCCACGGGGAGGTCACTCCAGAGCAAACGACGGCCCAGGGTTTTTCCAGGCTATAGCATGAAGGCACCACATTGCTATTATTCTTAATTGCAAAATGGATTTTGGAAAGTTGTGTTCTTCAGTTGAGATAAAATCGTGTTACAGAAAGGAGTTGAACACGCAAGTCCGTTCTAAAAAGAAAGTCTGGCGCAGAGAGACGGAGTCTGCTGAATTGTACCTGGTGACAGTGTGTGATGTGACTCTACTTCTCGAACTCCCTCGCGCGCCGGGAGGAAGGGCTCGCCGCGCTGGGTAGAACCGCGGCGTTTTCCTTGTGTTGCTGGGTAAGGGCGGCCCCGCAGCTGTCGCTGGTTTGCTTCCAGATTTATAGACCCTTGTGGGAAACGCAAGGGTGTGTTCTGCCCTGTCTTCTTAATTCTGCTGTGGGGTGGTTGTTGGTCCCCGCCGCGCAGTGAGACAAACTCAGACTCCCACGGTCCTGTGTCGATTGAGGCTAGTTGACGGGGATAGTCAGAAAAAGCCTCCAGGTTTGGGATTCTTTAGTCCTTCTATGAATATTTGTTTTATGTGTTAAAATTCACATACGGTGAAGTTCGCCTTCTTGGTGTACAGAGTGGTTCTGTGGGTTTCAGTGCACACACTGCTTTCCGCGACCACCGGCTCGAGCGGGACGCGGCCATTCTCCCACCCCGGGGCTGCCGCCGGGCCCGCCCGAGCTGCTGTCTGGCCGTGGAGGTGCGTTTTCCAGGCGGCCGCAGAAACGGAGCCGCGCAGTAAGTCGCGTTTCGGCACGGGCTCCGCTCACCCAGCGTGGTGCGTTTGAGGCTTGTCGGCGTTGTCGCTGGGGTTGGGGGCGGACCCCCCGTCACTGCTGTGTAGTGTCCCGCAGTGGGGGCTGTCTGCCCGTATTCATCCACTCACCCACTGGCGGGCATTGGGTCGTTTCCAGCTGTTGGCGATTATGATAATGTGGTTATCGTATAGAGACAAGTTTTTCGCTTCTCTGGGACAGAGGTGTGGAAATGGGGTCCCTAACAGCTGGGCCTCAGTCTGAGCACGCTCACCTGCACAGACGCCATCGGCCACACTCCCTTCTTCACCTGTGCTCTCTCCTTAGGTGACTTAGGGGGCTGCGTTCATTCCCAGGGCTTTAAATACCATGGGCACGCTGAGAAGGCTCAAGTCCCATCTCTAGCTCAGAGGAGTCTTTTGACGTGCAAGTCTGATTCTTACACTGTGTTAGGAACAGCCCGAAGGCAACGCAGACCTAACCTCTAAAATGGAGTTCTCGATTTTTCTTCCCCCTAAGTGGCATAACCAGACAGCCCGTCCCGCAAGCCACAGCCCACCCCGGACTCCTCCTCCCGCCCTGCCCACCCTGCCCGCCCTGCACTACTGCCGCGTGCCATGGATCTGGTCTTCAGAACTCGTCTCAGCACCTCCAGCTTCGCCGTGTCCCCTGCCATCGTCTGCACCCCCGGCGGGAAGCGGGCCCCGAGGAGCCTGACTCAAGTGTGGTCGAGGAGAGAGTACGTGTGGAAGGAGAGCAGGGGGCAGAGAGGTTTCCATGGAGACCCTGGGGCTTCCCTAGGACGGCAGCCCTGACGGGCCGGGTCTGCCAGCCTGGGCGCACGGGACCTCCGGCCGCTTGTTCTACGAGACTATCAATTCCTGTGTTGTTTTATACTGCAAAGGTTATTTTGGTTGTAGTTTTGTTGTTGTTGTTGTTGTTACTTGGAGCCAGAAGTATCCTAACTGATAAAACAGCATGCCACAGAGTAGACAGTTAATAAACACCATTGTAGGTGAATAAATCCACGCTCCCACGTAGATGGTATTGGCATTTAATTTGCTGAAGAGGATTCTTAAAAATACACATATGTGTTCTTTAAAAAAAATCAATGGCTTTTGTGTTGATGGATTAGACATCGTATATGTTACCATTTATTGATACATGTGCATAGTAGGTAAAATGCTGATTATATTTTATTTGATTGTTTTTTTTTTTTGAGACAGGGTCTCACTTTGTTGCCCAGGATAAAGTGAGTGCCATGGTGTCAGCCTAGCTCACAGCAACCTCAAACTCCTGGGCTCAAGCAATCCTCCTGCCTGAGCCTCCCGAGTAGCTGGGACTACAGGCACGTGCCACCATGCCCGGCTAATTTTTTTTTTTTTCTATATAGAGACGGGGTCTATAGTAGAGACGGGGTCTCGCTCTTGCTCAGGCTGGTTTCGAACTCCTGACCTTGAGCAATCCGCCCGCCTCAGCCTCCCAGAGTGGTAGGATTACGGGTGTGAGCCACCGCGCCTGGCCTATTTTATTTGATTGTTTCACAATTGCAAGACATTTTTCAATAACGTTTCCTTCGATTTGCCTTACCTATGAAGTATGCCACGCAAATTTTATTATTAAAAATAGTGATTCTCGTTTACCCTTAAAATATTTATTATCGTCTACTCTACATCAAGCATGGCGCCCGGCGCGGGGGCACAGGGACGGATGAGACAGTCGGGGCCCATCCGGATGGGACTTGACCTTGATCTCGAAGGAGCCAGGCCCTCACCGTGGAGAGTGCGAGGCGGACTGAGCCGTGCGCTGTTTTGTAAATAAAGCGCGGCAGAGGCCACTCGCACCACCCGTCTCCGTGAGAAGATTCCAGGTGGGGAACACACGTGTGAAGGGCCCTTCAGTTAGAGACAAACCAACATGCCGCATTCTAGGGACCAACCACGGGCCACGTGAAGGAGCGGGAGAGAGAATAAAGCAGGAGGGCAGACAGGTGAGGCTGCAGGGCCGTGGAGGGTGCGGTCAGGAGAGCGGGACCCACCGAACGCTCTGGAGGCAAGGAGCAGAGGTCGGCTGGCGAGGCCGAAAGACGGCAAATGCAGAAAGGTGCCTCAGGTGCTGTCGTTGGTCCCCACGAAGGACGCGTGGCCACAGGGCCGCACCTGGAGAGGAGCCGAGAGGAGGCTGGGACACACCCAGGGAATTGCGAGTGAACAGGAAGACGAAGGGGACCGTGGGTGGCAAGCCCAGCTTGTGGTCCACGGGCCTGGGCAAGTGGGGGTGCCGGGTCCTGAGCTGGGGAGACGGTGCCGGGTGCACCTCTCGCAGAGTCTCCTTCCCGACACGCTGCGTTTAGGCGTCTGCGATGTCAGAGGGATATCCAAGTCTGAAGTTTGGAAGAAAGCCTGGGCTGGGGATCAACACTGGAGTCGGTAGTGTGAGAGGTGGTGGCAAAGCTCCCGGGGAAGTGAGAAGGTTTAGGACACGCGGCACTCGGGGCTCGGAGGGTGGGCAGAGCCTCGCCAAGAAGACAGAGGAGGACGGGAGCCGTCGGCGGGAGCAAACCCACGGGGAGCAAGAGGGAAGAAGCCAGAGGGGCTGTCTGCAGGACGGACAGTCGGCTAGCAAGGAGCGGCTCAGGGGAGACCGGGACGGAAAGGAAACAAAGTGCGGCTTCTGCATGGGGATTTCAAGAGCAATGTCAGTGGCAGACTGGTGGGCGTCAAAGCTGGACCAGAGGGTGAAGAGGAATACATCAGTGAGTGCAGACAAATCTGTGACAGGGTTTGTGCTGTGGCTGGAACCTGTCCCCCAAATTTCATGTATGGAAAACATGACCCCTGAATTGATGTGTTGATGGCAGGGGGCCTTCGGGAGGTAACTGGGATCGGATAAGGTCGTCAGGCTGGGCCCCCGTGGTGGGACTGGCGGCTTTGTAAGAAAGGCCGGGAGCGCCGAGCTGACGCGCACACTCCCACCTTCGTCTCGCTAGGACACGCAGGAGGGCCCCGCCAGCTGCCCAGAGCTGCAGGGAACACGCTGATTTTCTTTACAGCCCACGGTGCTGTGCGTGCTATTCTGTTGCAGCCACGTCGTAAGTGGACCGAGATGGATTGTCTATGAAGAAAACAGACAC